CTTTATTAGAGACAGCATTTGTGTTACAGCCAAAATTTGGATGTTATAAATTCTTCTGAGTATTTACAGATGTTGATTCTACTTTTGCTCCAAAGTATGCATGATGTATTTAAGTAATACTTTGAAGAAAAAAAAAACTCATAAAACCTACTACCACTTAGAAATTTGATTTTATGTCATTTGTTACTATAAGTTCAGTTTATTCAAATTAGGTTACATAAACACAGGATTTAAACCAACATATGTTCCACCAAGGCCAATTCATTGTATAAGTGTTGAATATAAGCAGTCATTGTGGCTTGAAGTGAGATCACACAAGTAATGATAAATGAAGGGCTTTCTAATACTATATGGGCACTCTAAGAATTATTTCATATGACTATAAAGAAGTTAAGAGGCCTCCTGTCTCATTCACAGCAGTTTCTCCAAAATAATGTGGTGTGCCGGAGCACATTGGTGGTATAGTGGTGAGCATAGCTGCCTTCCAAAATAATGTGGTGTTTCAAAAAGCAAATGATAATCATGAGGTTGGATTCTTCAGGATCATGAATAAATCATTTAGTTTTACCATAACTGCCAAGTGATGGGAGGTACCATACCAGAAAATGTATGTTTGTGTTTGTTGTAATTTTTTCATTCTTGAACAAAGCATATTTATTAAAAATTTTAAATTTTCTATAAAAAGAAAAAAAACCCAAAATCTTCATTAGGGGCTGTGGCTATAACTCAGTAGTAGAGCACCTTCCTAGGTTCATTCCCCAGCATTGTGAAAAAGTATCTACATCATTATGATCCAGAAATGGACATTTCTCAAGACTAATGAACTATCCTGATATCCACTTGCTTGAGATTGAGTTAATCTCATAAAAGATGCTATATAAACTTTCAGCTGTGCTACTCAAGAAGAACCCAGGTGCTAGCTGTTCATCTTTCGAGATGCTGTCTTATTGCTACATAAAACTTTTTCTTTCCTATCAAAAATCCTACATTACACCAAAGCAGGGGGTGGGGAACCCTGGAAATTATTAACTCTGGATAGTAAAATGATGAGTATCAGTTATTTCTAACCACTTTTCTCTATTTTCTAAAATTTCTGAATGAGAAACATATTTCATGAATAAAATGTTTACCTCTGGGCAAATGTAAGTAAATACATAATACAAATACACAATAGTGTCAGCTTTCAGCAGGTTTATTATATGAAATGTGAAATCATAATAAATCTTATTTGATATATTCAATAGGAGATAATAGAAAAATTAAAAGGATTATAACAAAATATTCTGGACAGGTCCATGTTAAAAAAAAATAGATAACATGGGCAAATTCCTAGAAAGATATGAACTGCCAAAAATTAGTCAAGAGAACATCTGAATAGACCTAAACAAGTAAAGAAATAAAATGATCAAAAAAACTACCCACAAAGAAAACCCCATGCTCAGATGGCTTCACTGATGAACTCTTACTAAACATTTAAAGAAAATGTAATATCTGCTCTTCACAAACTTTTCCGAAAAACAAGGGAACACTTTCCAAATCATTCTATGTGGATAATATTATCCTGATATCAAAACCAGACAAAGACATCATGACAAAAGAAAACTAAGCTGGTAACTTTTATGAACACAGATATGAAATTCCCCTATAAAATACTAGCAAACTGAATTCAGCAACACATAAACAGCATTAATACACTATGACCAAGTGGGACTTATACAAGGAATGCAAAGTTAGTTTAATATCTGAACTTCAAATAATATAATATGCTAAAAAGGACAAAAAAACCACATGATCTTACAACATGCAGAAAAAGACTTTGACAAAATTATACTTTGTAATTTTTAAAAAGCCAACAAACTAGGAATAGGACTGAACTTCCTCAACATGATAAAAAAGCAACTATGAGAAAACCACAACTAATATCATACTTAATGGTGAAATATTAAATCCCTTCCCCTAACAAGGCAAGGATGTCTACTCTGGCATTTCTATTTAACATTGGAAGATCTAGCAAGATTAGGTAATGAAATGAAATGAAAGCCACTAAAAGGGCTAAAATGTAGCTCAGCGGTAGAGCAATTGCCTAGCATGTACTAAGCCCTGGATTCCATCCCCAGCACCACACACACACAAGGCATTGGAAAGGAAGAAGTAAAATTATCTCTATTTGCAGCTGACATGATTTATAAATAAAAATTACTAATAAATCCACTAAAAAAATTTTAGAGAAAATAAATGAAGCCGGGTGCAGTGGTGCACACCTGTAAATCCAGCAACTGGGGAGGCTAGACAGGAGAATTGCAAGTTCAAAGCCAGCCTCAGCAATGGCAAGGCACTAAGCAACTGAGTGAGAGCCTGTCTCTAAATAAAATACAAAATAGGACTGAGGATGGGGCTCAATGGTCGAGTGCCCCAGAGTTCAATCCCTGGTATCAAGAAAAAGAAAAGAAAAGAGAGACAGAGAGAGAGAGAGAGAGAGAGAGAGAGAAAGAAAAAGAGAAAGAAAAACAAAGAAATGAACAATGAACAACGCAATGAACAATCCAAAATGAAATTAACAATTATTTACAATATCACCAAAAAGAATAAAATACTTAAATTTCACAAAAGTAAATAGTACACTACAAAATATCAGTAAAAGAAATTAAAAACATCCTGTGTTCATGGATCAGATGGCTTATTTATTAAAATGGTAATACACTCCAAATTGATCTGCAGATTCAACACAATCTCCATCAACATTCCAGCTGACTTCTTTGAGAAATTGACAAATCAATTCCAAAATTCATATGGAAATACAAGGAACCAGAACTGCCAAATCAATCTTTTTTTAAAATGTTTAATATTTATTTTTCAGTTTTCGGCAGATACAACATCTTTGTTTGTATGTGGTGCTGAGGATCGAACCAGGGCCGCACGCATGCCAGCCGAGCGCGCTACCACTTGAGCAACATCCCCAGCCCCAAAATCAATCTTGATAAACAAAGTTGAAGGACTCTGTTATGGTTTGGATATGAAGTGTCCTCCAAAAGCTCATAGGTTAATGCAGGAATATTCAGAGGTAAAATGATTAGATTATGAAAGCTGCAACCTAGGTGAATGGACTGCCTGGGTGGTAACTGTAGGCAGGTGAGGGGTGGCTAGGGGAGGTAAGTCAGTGGGGCTGTGCCCTGGAAGGGTGCATTTTCCCTTCATCCCCTTCCCTCTCCCTCTTTCTCTGCTTCCTTGCTGCCATTTGGGGAGCAGTTCCCTTCTGTCACACCCTTACCCCCATGATGTTTTGCCTCACTTTGGGCCCAAAGCAATGGAGTCAGTCTATGGACTGAGATCTCTGAAACCGTGAACCAAAATGAACTTTTTCTCTGCTAAGTTGTTCTTGTTGGGTATTTTGGTCACAGAGACACAAACTTTCTACAAAGCTACACAATCTAGACTCTATAATACTAGCATAAGGAATACATATAGATCAATGGAATAAAATTGAGAGTCAAGAAATAAACTCACATTTACAGTCAATTGATTTTTGACAAGAGTACCAAGACCATTTGATGGGGAAAGAATAGTCCTCCTTTCTATAACTGTGCTGGAACAACTGGATATCCACATGAAAAGAATGAATTTATATCACTCCCTCACACATGTGAAAATTAACTCCAAATGGATCAAAATCCTACAAAAATTTTTTTTTTAGTTGTAGATGGACACAATAACTTTATTTTGCTTATTTATTTTTATGTGATGCTGAGGATCGAACTCAGTGCCTCACATGTGCTGGGCAAGTGCTCTACCACTGAGCTACAACCCCAACCCAGCCTCCTACAAAACTCTTAAGAGAAAATATAAGCATAAAACTTCTTGGATTTATCAGTGGATTCTTGGATATGGTACCAAAAGCACACATACACACAAAAATGGACTTTCTCAAAATTAAAAATTTTTTTCCTTCAAAGGACACCATTAAGAAAGTGCAAAGACAACTCACTAAATGGAAGAAAATATTGGCAAGTCATATATTTGTTAAGGAATTTGTATCTAGAATATATGAAGAACTCTTAAAACAAAATAATATAAAATAAATAACAATAACAATGGATAAACGATCTGAATAGACACTTATCCAAGGAAGATAAACAAATGGTCAAAAACATATGAAAAGATGATCAACATCATTAGTCATTAGGGAAGTACAAATTCCACAATGAGATTCTTCATTCCCACTAGGATGACTCTAATATAAAGGACAAAAATAAGTGCTATGAAGGGTGTGGAGAAATTACTACCCTCATTCACTGCTGATAGGAATGTAGACTGATGCAACCACTTAGGGAAACAGTTTTGAAGTTTCCCAAAATGTTAAGCACATAGCTACCATATGTCCCAGCAATTTTACTTATTGGCATATGCCTAAGAAAACTGAAAACATACATCCACATGATAACATATATGAATTTTCATAACAACATTGTTCATAATAATAAAAAAATAGTACCAACCTAATGTCTGTCAATTAATAATGGATTAACATGATGTGGCATATTCATACAATGGAACATTATTCATTAATAAAAAGGAATGAAGTACTGATTCATGATACAACATGGACAAAGCCAGGCACAAAAGGTCACATAGTGTGTGATTTCATTTACATGAAATGTCCAGAATAAAATTCACAGAGATTGCCAGGGATTGAGGGGAGAGGGAAATCAGGAGAAACTGCTTAAAGTACAGGGGTTTTACTTTGGAGTAAAAGAAATGTTTTGGAACTAGACAGGTGGTGCAATATTGTAAATGTTCTAAATGCCATTGAGTTGTTCACTTTACAACAGTTGGTTGTACGTTATGAGTTTCACCTCAATAAAGTATTTAAAAGAAAAAACAATCCAAAAATCCTAGTTAACACTTCTATTCACAAATAACATTTCAAAAGGAGAAAAGTATTTCAAAAAGAGACAGAATTTTTCTTTTCATTCATAAACACAGGCAACATTTCCAGCACTCACCTTTCTCAGATTTTTTGTTTCCTGTTGAAGAACTGCTACAACCCATGATTTCTAAATCATATTATGTTCACAAATTCAACTTCTGATTCCAAGATAAGAGTATGAAAAGTCTCCTCCTTGATGTTGTGAGGAGCTGCTCTTAGTTGATCCCCTTCAATCACAGATACTAATAAGAAATAGGAGGAAAGGAGAGAAAGTATCAGTTAACAACATGATAGCTAAGGGGCTGCTCGGCAGAATTCGTTTTATGCTTCTTCTGAATTACTATTCATTGTGTGATGTGGAAAGTGATTAGACATAATCTGACCCTGATTTATTTTCCAAATCACAACAGTAGCTACAGAGCAGCTACACACTCAAATTATAGTTTCTCCATCTCTAAATCAAATCTAACCCTAAAATTAAGCATTGATAGTCAAACATGGTAGATAGCACAAGCCTGTAATCCCAGCTACTCAGGAGGCTGGGGGCAAGAGGATGGAAAGTTTGAGGCCAGCCTTGGTAACTCAATAAGACCATCTCAAAATAAAAAATAAAAAGGGCTAAGAATGTAGCCAAGTGGTAATCTCCAGCACCTTAAAAAAGAAGCATTAATAATGAAATGAAAAATTGAACTGTAAGAATGTATTATTTTTCTAATTGAAATACAGAGAATGGAGGAGCTGATATAATTGTTTTGACTTTAAACTCAAACTAATTAAATCTATCTGGACTTTAAAAACACAAATTGGAGGCTGACTATGAGGAAAAAAAACAACATGTATAAACAACTGTGACAAAATTAAAATCAAAGTGAATTTTTTGACAATATATTTCATTTTTCAATCAGTTGAGGGTGCTTGTTTAAAAGAAGAAAATTCAAGACCTCCCCTCAAATTTAGGAATCATTATCTGTGAAGAGTGTCCTTTTTACCTTTTTTAGTACTGGGGCACTTTGCCACTGAGCTATATCCCTAGCCTTTTTTATTTTGAGACAGGATCTCCCTAAATTGCTGAGGATAGCCTTGAACTCAAGGTCTTCCTGCTCAGCCTCCAGAGTCACTGGGATTACAGGCATGGCCCAAGAGTGTCCTTTTTTTTAATATTTATTTTTTTAGGTGTAGATGGACACAACACATTGCCTTTATTTTTATTTGGTGCTGAGGATCAAACTCGGATCCTGCCCGTGCTAGGCGAGTGCTCTACTGCTGAGCCACAATCCCAGCCCCAAGAGTGTCCTTTTTAAATGAGCTCTCCAGGCATTCCTGAGACCCCTCTGAAGTCTCCCCTCTTGCTTACTAGATCTTTCTGATGAGGCTGCTGAATTGGTATTTCCATAACCACTTGATGAGGGTTTTAAACAAAATTCCCCTCTGTAGTATACCATCTCATTGCTTTTGGGGGTGATGTTTATTTTGTGATGCTCTGACTCTGAACTTTACCTACTTTTTTCTATCATTTTTTTCTATTAGTACTACACTAAAGACTTTAAAATTTCAATTCAACTAAAGAAAGGGAAAACTAATAGTATAATAAGGCTGGGAGTGTAGTGTAGTGGTAGAGTGAATGCTTAGTATGCCTGACACCCTGTATTCAATCCTCAGAACCAAAAAATAAAAATACAGCTGGACCCAATTCTTTTATGTATCAAATTAATTAACTCCCCTAAACTTTGGGCTATTTACAAATTTGATAGACATTTCTTTCATGTCTTTTTTTTATCTACATCATGGATAAAAAATGTTAAGGTCAAGTTCAAAGGCACAACAAGCCCTGTGGCACTCCATTCCAGATCATTCTTCAGGGTATATCCACTACATTCACAATGTCTGAGCATATTTATTCAGAAAGAAAAGAAAGAGGAAGAGGGAAGGAGGATAAAGAAGAGTAAAAAAGGAAAGAGGAAGGGAATCAGTTTGGCATGATTTTTAATAAAAGAATCAGACATTTAAAGGTAGGAAAGACCCTTAAAATTACCTACTATTTATACAAAGTACAAGAAAATAAAGCAATTTGCCTAATGTCAAATTTTGCTGCATATTGGGGAAATTTTTAAGCTCCTAATGCTCAGCTTGCACTTCATTAAATCAGAATATCTAGGGGGTTAAAAAATACTAATGCCAAGGTCCCACCTCCAGAGATTCTGATGTAATTGGTACCGGGTGGGGATTGAACATCAAGATATTGTTAAAGGTAACCAGATGATTCTAAAATACAGCAAAGTTTGACAATCTCTAAAAGAGACAATGTTTTATCAAACCTATAATGTTGCCTAGTGATCATTTTTCCAGAAATGCTTTGACTCCATTCATTGGAAGCTGAATTTTTCCAGAGTTAGACTTAACAAGTCTCTGGCTTCTGGTATCTACTTTTCTCATTTTTGAAAATGGTATACTACTGACCCATTTTTGTGCTCAGGAATTTCTCAAAGGTCATCTACAGTACATTAGAGAATACATCTGCACATTCCTTCATCACTGCAGGTGTGGGTGAGGGGGTAAAATTCAAAGTCCAGGCTTTACTGATAATACTCAATTACAAAAATTCTGGAGGCCAAGAAATCTGCATTTAAAGTGCAATCTTGGGCTGGGGGTATAGCTCAGTGGTAGAACATTTGCCCAGAATGTGCAAGTTCCCAGCTTCAATAAAAATATATACAAGTAAATATATTTGTAAAATAAAATAAAATATATATATATATATATATATATATATAAAGTGTACCCTTCAGGGTATTTTGATGCAGGCAGTCCCCATATCCCAGTTTGAGAAACACTGCCCTCCCACAGTATCCATATCTACCTTGGGCTTTGCTTCATGCTTATGCTATTTTTTTCTACCCCTTTATATGAATCATTAGAGTTTGGCATTGAGTAAGCAACAAACACTGATTGGATAACAAAAGTGATGTATCTTAATCCCAATTTCCTTTTTCCAGAAAAATAATGTATCTCCAAAGGCATTTGCTTCTCAGCTAATTCATTATAAACACATAGAATTCCATATATAAAATTCACTAGGAATTTTAAAAGCATCAAACTTGCATATGTTTCTGTTAGACTGTAAGCACCATGTGTAACTTTCTTTGTAAATACCCCTCGAACCTTTGGCACCTACACAGTGCCTTTTACATAACATATGTTTGACAAATACTGAATGGATAAATGAATAAAGAAATAAGTATTTCTAAGCCAGAGTCCTTTAGAAAACTAATTGCTAAAAGTCATTATTTTTTAATTTTTTTTAAATTTATTTTTTAGTTTCAGGTGGACACAATATTTTTATTTTATATTTATGTGGTGCTGAGGATTGAACCCAGTGCCCCATGCATGCTGGGCAAGTGCTCTTCCACTGAGCCACAACCCCAGCCCCTAAAAGTCATTATTAGTGTATCATTTTTGCATTCTTTTTTAAAGCAAATTTTAAAATCATGTTGGAAATGATAATTGTTCTAGAATTCTTTGGTTGTCTATTAGAAAAAAATAATTGGCTATTAGAACTTTTATATTATTATTGTGTCATTTTTTTATACTGTTTT